TATAATGAAAAAATAATAAAAAAAGAGGTGAGTAAAGGAAGGAGGAAGTATTGTTGGTAATTACAAAGGCCTTCAAATTTTTTTTTTTTACCAAAAAAATCAAATATCTAGATAATAAAAGAATTTCTTAAAAATATATTCAATTCATTAATGAAAAAGTTAACCTAAAAAATCCTAAGACCAGCATATTAAATCTCAATCACATATTAAAATATAAAAAATATAACTAAAATAAAAATCAATTGAAAAAATAATCTACACAAAAATCAAATAAAAAACTCACAAAAATAACAAAAAAATTATTTAAAAAATTACCAAATCTAAAATTTAAATATTTTAAAAAATGTTGTCTCTTAAAAACAAAAAAAAAGAAATAAATTAAAAAACTAAAGGTTTTAGAATTGAGATTTTTTTTAATAAATTTAAATATATATAATTACAACTAACCAATACAAATAACCATATAAAAACTCTAGATATGAGATTTTTAAACTTTTTTTAAATCTAAAAAATCTAAAACCTAAAAAAAAAAAAATTTAAAATTATTTTTATAAAAAAAAAAAATTTCACACAAAACAGATAGCATTCTTGTTAATGTTAAATGCCAGTTTCTTGACAGGCCACTGATATTAAAAGATTAAAAGAAAAAAAAAATTAACCACCAAAGATTTGACAAATTGAATTCAATACTTTCACACACCCACAAGTTCTTAAAACAAAAAGAAAAAAAAAAAAAAAAGGACATCCACAAGTTCATGGAAAACTGAGTCTGGTTGTTTTTTTTTCCGAATTCCCATTTCCATACACATCAGGTGAGGGGGATTCTATCATCGGCGGAAGCACATAAAGAGCTTCTTTATAGACACCTTTAAAGGTTAAAATTATAAAAAAAAAAAAAAAAAAAAAAACAAATTTTCTTTATTACTTTCAATTTTTTTTTTTTGAATATAAGCTTTTAATTCTCTAATTACTTTATTCACTGTTATTATCAAATATTTAACCACAGTTTACAATCAATCAACATTCAACATATAGTAGACGAGATTATATTACTTATAATTATTATAATATAATTAATTAATTATAATTTAAAATTACGAAAAATTTATATATAGATAAGTGGTGGATCTTTATATAAATTTTTAATGTGAGTGAATAATTGTAAAATTATATTAAAAAAATTATGAAAGAAAATCTTTTCTACTAATTAAAAAATAATGAAAATTTTGATTATTTTATTCAATGATGATAATTACACTCTCAACTAAATCTAAAATTAAAATTTAATTATTTTAAATTAAATATAAAAATTGTTTAAAAATAAAATAATTTGAACTTTAAAATCAATTTAAAATGTGTTAATCACAATTGAATAAAATACTAAAATTTTTTACTATTTTTTAAATAATAAAAAATCCTTTGCCAAAAATTATTAGTAAAATACTCTCACAACAAGCATTCACAACAACAGTTGAACATAAAAAAAAAAAAAAAAATCCCCTCTAAACAAATCAATCAGAAAATTGAATCAATTTGCCCTGTGGGAAAAATAAAGGTTGTCTTCCTTTTATATATTAGAAAGGCAAAAAGTAGCCTTGGCTTAAATTTTTGCCATTTTCCCCTTTTAATTGCAGAATCCAAGCAATTCATAAACGCTCATTTGAAAACAGATTGGAGGTATCATCGAAATAATAAGGTAAAAAATTGATAATTTAAATTAATGGATATATAAGCCTTAATTAGCTTCAAGTTGGAATTTCATTCTCCATGAGTCTCAATTGGCTTTTAATCGATCTGATTTATATATGATTTTATTTTTATGATATTATTTAAAAAAATTAAATTTTTATTGATAAAAAGCAAAAAAAAATTTCTTTACCGATTCGATTAATTCTCGTTGCTCATAAGTTACATGACACAACTTCAAAAAAATCCGAAAAAATTTATTCTCTCACTCTAAAATGATTGAAAAGACTACGGTTCAAAATTTTAATAAAGCACCAAATTAACAACTTTGATTAACAATAATATAATGTTAATTCATCTTCATCTTATTATTTAATTTAATTAAAAAAAAGACTAATAACACCTATTAGCTAGGAATAATTAATAAATTTGATGGCATCACTCTTTCATCACCTTAATGTGAAAATTAATTGAGCTGCATGTATTAATTATATGATTATAAATTGAATAAAGAATTAGGAGGAGACAAGAAGTTTGCTTATTTTTATGTGTGGACTCTTTGTTGGACATATGACAAAAAGTTTTAAGCACTCAATGTAATTTTTTTTCCTTTTTTTAATAAATAATGTTTACTTTAGTGTAAAGTTAGCTTTTATGTTGACCCAAAACAAGGGATTTGCATGCCGGTTAGCCGGTACGTGTTGAAGAAGAAAGCAATTATTTTCCCATTTTTCTATGATAAAGTACATTGAAGAAACAATTTTGAAGGGCCCATTTTTCACTAAATAAAGGGTTAAATTGAATTTAACTTTTAAAACTTGAAACATGATGAAGAATTCGAAAACATATATGGTGTTTTGAATTTATTCTTAAAATTTGTAGTATTATTTACACAAACTATCAAGTTTTGTTGTATTTTTAAGATTTTAGATCATTTAACAAAAGCTTTTAAGATTAACAAGTGAAAATTTTTAAGTCATACTAAAGATTTATTTTAATTAATTCATATAATTATTTTGAGTATATATTATTTATTAAATTTGATATTTAAAATTTAAATTTTATCATTTTTTTATTTTTAAACAAAATTCATCATTGTTCAATGTTCATAGAATTTTGTGAAACAATACTTTAGGTTGACTAGTTGGCCAATTGTGTAGAGTATAAGGGAACGAAGTCACAACGACAATTAAAATTCTTTTAATGAAATTATAAATATAAAAAAGGTTATCAAAATAATTAATTATTTCATTGTAATTAAATTTTAATTATTGAATAATAAATTAATAAATTATAACATAATTAAATAATTCAATTTATACGTAATAAAACTTGAACTTAAAATTTAAAATTTTTTAAAAAAATTTATCACTAAGTCAAGATCTCATTTGTCAACCAACCATGTCATGAAAAAATGCTAGAAACTATGACTCTAATAAGTTGCTACATTTTTTATTAACTTCCCTTTATATCTTAGTTTCTTGATGATTTTCCTATGACCTTGCTATATTAGTTAACTCAATGAAACATCTCAAAAGATTAGCTATAATTACTATAAAATTATGATTTTCTCTTTAGAGATTTAGAATTTTTTAATTTTGCTTACACCTAGTGTTATAATTCATATATGACAAAACTTACAATTATTATATAAAAATCATGGTATATAATTCAAATCTTTTGTATATAGGTGAAATTATAATTTATTGAATATGATTTTGAACTAGAAAGTATCCTCTTAACATTTATCATGCATGACATTTGAAATTTTTTGGATAAAAATAAGTTGTAATGTGAGAATAAAAAATAAATCGTAAGTATTAAAATTTAAATTTAAAATTTATTAAATGTAAGAGATTCATTGAATTAATTAAATTAAGTTTGAATTTAATAATAAATATTGTATTATTTATTTCAAATAAATTTATTAAATATTAATTTAAGAATTCAAATATAAGAAATAAAATATAAAAAACTATTATTGCAGATTGTAATGGTTTTTAAGTAATGATAATCATTTTTGCATAAAAAATTTAAATATAAAATAAAATATGACATATTTAATGTCATTCGTATTTTAGGATATATAAAATAATTCATTGGGATCAATATTTAGGTGTTAGAAAAGATTATTGGGTGATTAGTTGCATTTAAGAATTTCATTGATTTATATTTAAAACCCTTTAAACCAAAAATATTCCCATAGGCTTTTTGTGGGGGACCCCTAATTTATCGGGACCTCATAAACCCTAAAAATTAAGGTAATCCCAATAAAATTAGTTTAAAAGGAAAAGGCCCCACTTCACCTTCTGGAAGGGCACCCCATGTGGAATCCTGTATCCAATGCCACCTGGGCAATCTAGCCTGTAGAGGACAATCTAAAGTTTAAAGTATGCCTTTTAACCCTGTCAAATCAAAGAAATAAAATATTAAAAATATTAAAATTTTAGTAAAAATTAGCGCTTAAGTTGACGGTGCTGATGCATTTATTGACCGGTTTGTGGGACCCAATCACCTCCTTGATGAATTTTTGCCTATTGTATAAAACGACAACCTAAGCCCTAAACTATTTGAAAACAAAAAAGTTGAAATTTCAAAAAAGAACAAAAAAGTTAGAAATATTTTTAAAGAACCGTGAAATTTTTGTTCAATATCGAAAAAGCCCCTATCCATGTTGGACAACTTTTCTTGTTCCATTTTGAATTTAATTATCTGAAAAGAATAATGAAATTTATGGAATGAAAAAAAATTATAATAAATTTTATTAAATTTATTAAAGAAATTATTATTAAAAAATAATATTTGATAAATTTATATTTTAAATATTAATATTTGTAATTTTTTATTTTAAAATTATAGTATCTTTGACGTCAAAAGAATTTTAACTGCATTCATTGTCTAATAATAGATAAATGAAATAAATGATAACTAAAGATTTTTTCATTTTTTTCTATTTTTATAAATAAAATTAAAAGTGTACATAACACCTGCTGTACCATCAAGCCCGTCATGTATAAAAAGAGAAAAATATAAAAAAAATGATAAAATTAAATAAAGAAAGTTTTTAAACAATTTTTATTTGGCTACCTCCATTTAAAATGCAAAAAAAAAAAAAAAAAAAAAACTCTCTTTAAGCCAATAAAATCATTTTAAAATTATCTTTAAAAAATCAATTTGAAATTATACTTGTTAAAATAAATCTTCAAGTCTCAAACATGTCCATTATTGTGTCGTGAAAAAGGAAACCTCCATAAAATACATTCAATCAGGATTAAATTTAAATTAAGCAAAACATGTTGGAGCTTTTCATAAATAAGGTAAACTTTTCATACCTGTCCATAATTTTCCCATAAACTGCACAAAGGGAAAGTTCTAAAATAACAGAAGGAGAAGAACAGAAAGGAAAATAGAACGCGTCTTTCATTGTTGAATGCTTCTCTCTTTTTCCATCTCTTTCTTTCCTTTTTATTTTATTTTCTCTCCTCCCAAACACCCCAAAAAATTAGGGTTGGGGTTATAAAAAGAAAAACAGAAGAAAGAAAAGGAAAGACCCGGATTTCCAACTTAAAATTCTTGTAGAAAGAACTTTTTAGAGTACCCTTCGAAGAGGGTACTAAAAAAATGGGTTCTTTTTCAGCTTCAGTTATCAAGTGGCAGCCATTTTTCTTACTCTTCTTCTTTGTATTAAACTGTGACGTTTTGGGTGATAATTCTTCAGACAAAGCTGCTCTTCTTGAGTTTAAGAAGTCTGTCTCAGATCCTTCAGGGCTTTTGTCCACTTGGACCGAAACTTCCCATCACTGTTCATGGTCTGGTGTTTCATGTGACAAAAACTCCAAGGTTTTGTCTCTTAACATAACTGGTTTTGGAAAAGGGCCAAAAGGTAATTTCAACGGTACAGCTGCTTCAATTTCTTTTTCTTGTTCTGATTATAGTTTATTTCCATTTTATGGGTTTGGTATTAGAAGGAATTGTGGTGAAGTTAATGGGAGTTTGTTTGGAAATTTGTTGCCTTCTATTGGAAAATTGAGTGAACTTAGAATTTTATCACTTCCTTTTCATAGATTTGTTGGTGAAATTCCTACTGAAATTTGGGAGTTGGAAAATTTGGAAGTTCTTGATTTAGAAAACAGTTTGTTATCTGGGTCATTGCCTGTTGGCGTTTCTGGGTTAAAGAATTTGAGAGTTCTTAATTTGGGGTTTAATAATATTAGTGGAGAGATACCAAGTTGGCTTTCGAGTTTGGAACATATGGAGATATTGAATTTGGCTGGTACTCTTGCGAATGGAACCATTCCTGGATTTGTTGGAAGGTTTAGAGGTGTTTACTTATCGTTTACATGGCTTGGTGGGTTGTTGCCAGCTGAAATCGGTGAAGGCTGTAAGCTCGAGCATTTGGATTTGTCAGGAAATTACTTCGTCGGGCAGATTCCTGCTAGTTTGGGGAACTGCAGTCAGTTGAGATCGTTGTTGTTATTTACGAATATGTTGGAGGAAGTGATTCCACGTGAAATTGGTCAGCTTCAGAATCTTGAAGTGTTGGATGTTTCGAGGAATAGTTTGAGTGGTCCCATACCTGTTGAGCTAGGGAATTGTTCTGGCTTGACTGTGCTTGTGCTTTCAAATATGTTTAATCCTTATGATGACCTTGCTATGGCTAAGGGGGATCCATCTTTAAATGAGGATTTTAATTTTTATCAAGGTGGGATTCCTGATGAAATTGCAAAGCTTCCAAAACTGAGGGTATTATGGGCTCCAAGGGCAATGCTTGAGGGCAACTTACCAACTGATTGGGGTGCTTGTGATAATTTGGAGATGATAAATTTGGCTCAGAATTTTTTTGCTGGGGAAATTCCTGTTGGTCTTGGTCTCTGCAAGAAGCTGCGGTACCTTGACTTAAGCTCAAATAAGCACCTTACTGGAGAGCTTATTGAGGAACTTGCAGTTCCTTGTATGAGTGTGTTTGATGTCAGTGAAAATTCCTTGTCAGGTTTTATCCCTAGATTCTACAACCGTGAATGCCCTGATATTCTTTTCTCAGATTCGTATTCCTTTGAACCCTTCAACCCAACTTCTGCATATTTATCATTTTTGGCAAGTAAAGCTCAGGTTGGAACACCTTTTGAATTTTTTGGAGATGGTGGTCCTGCTGTGTTTCACAACTTTGGAGGTAACAACTTTACTGGCAGTGTCTTGTCAATGCCAATCGCACCACAAAGATTAGGGAAACAGATCTCTTATGCATTTTATGCTGGAGAAAACTTGCTCAGTGGACCATTTCCTGGGTATTTGTTGGAGAACTGCAACAGATTGGATGTACTGTTTGTTAATGTTAGCTACAACAGAATGACTGGTCAGATTCCAGCTAAAATCAGTAAAGTTTGCAAATCTCTCAAAGTTTTGGATGTGTCTGTGAATCAAATAGCTGGGCCCATTCCCCCTAGCATTGGAGACTTGGTTTCACTTGTTTCTCTTAATTTGAGTTGGAACCGATTACAAGGCCAGATTCCAAGCAGTTTTGGGCAAATAAAGGATCTAAGGTTTCTTTCTTTGGCTGCTAACAATCTGACCGGGCCTATTCCTTCCACCTTTGGGCTGTTGCAATCTTTAGAAATGCTAGAGCTGTCATCAAATTCTCTTTCTAGTGAAATTCCTAAAGGTCTGGTTAACTTGAGAAACCTGACTGTTCTTCTGCTCGATAACAACAAACTCTCTGGGCAAATTCCCTCTGGTTTGGCAAATGTGACCATGCTCTCTGCATTCAATGTGTCCTTCAATAACTTGTCTGGGCCACTGCCATCAAGCAATAATTTGATGAAATGCAGCAGTCTTCTTGGAAATCCTCTCCTACAGCCTTGCCTTGCATATTCCTTAATGCCATCTTCAGATGAAGCAAGTGCGGGTGATTCACAAATTTATGCTGCATCACCACCGGGATCTGCAGCCGAAAGGAATAAAAATAATGGTTTCAATTCAATTGAGATAGCATCTGTAACATCTGCTTCGGCCATTTTTTCAGTTCTTCTAGCTCTTGTTATATTATTCTTCTATACCAGAAAGTGGAATTCAAAATCCAAAATTATCAGCACCACCAAAAAAGAAGTGACAATTTTCACTAACATTGGGGTCCCATTGACATTTGACAGCATTGTGCGGGCCACTGGGAATTTCAATGCTAGTAACTGTATTGGGAATGGAGGTTTTGGGTCAACTTATAAAGCTGAGATTTCACCTGGAGTTTTAGTGGCAATAAAGCGGCTTGCAATTGGGCGGTTGCAAGGCTTTCAGCAGTTTGATGCAGAAATTAAAATTCTTGGGAGGTTGCGCCACCCAAATCTTGTCACTTTAATTGGCTATCATGCCAGTGAAATAGAGACATTCCTTGTATACAATTATTTGCCAGGTGGTAACTTGGAGAAGTTTATTCAGGAGAGGTCCACAAGAGCTGTGGATTGGAGGATCGTCCACAAGATCGCTTTGGACATAGCCCGTGCTCTTGCCTACCTACATGATCAATGTGTTCCACGAATTCTTCATCGTGATGTCAAGCCCAGCAATATCCTTTTGGATGATGATTACAATGCTTATTTATCAGACTTTGGTTTGGCCAGACTTTTGGGAACTTCGGAAACCCATGCTACCACAGGTGTTGCTGGAACTTTTGGGTATGTTGCACCGGAATATGCAATGACTTGCCGTGTATCTGATAAGGCTGATGTTTACAGTTATGGGGTGGTGCTCCTTGAGTTGCTCTCAGATAAGAAAGCTTTAGATCCATCGTTTTCTCCTTATGGAAATGGTTTCAACATTGTTCAGTGGTCTTGCTTGCTCTTGCGACAAGGCCAGGCCAAGGAGTTCTTCACTACAGGGCTATGGGATGCAGGTCCCCAGAATGACTTGGTAGAAGTTCTACACTTGGCAGTTGTGTGTACTGTCGATTCTGTCTCTACAAGACCTACAATGAAGCAAGTAGTACGACGGCTGAAGCAACTTCAGCCACCATCATGTTAGTTACTTGATAAAGCTTATGTTGATCAACATAGTCTTCATAGGAGGTAAGCCCCAAGCTTGGTCATTGCAGCAGGCTGCCCTTAGGTAGAATTCTAAGCTGTAGTTATTGCCACTTGTAAATTGTAATACAGTTTTGCCCCCTTTTTTTCTGATGCTATTTCTCGGATAGGGGTTCACTGATGACTCTGCAGAAGAATACGGAAATGTATATTTTTTAAATCCAAGTTGTACACATGTATTTGAGTTTCATTTGATATCTAATAAAACAGTAGAATAGTTTTCCTCTCTTCACAGTTCATATGTCGTGTCTATTTTAGTTTAATCTATATGAAGCCTGTAATGCAAATATCCTCTGCTGTGAACTTACTTTCTGCAACTCTAGAAGGTAAGTGATGTTGAAGTTGAACAGTTGAAGTTGCAGGATGGAAAACAATTGGCAGGAAATTTTCCTTCACGATGAAGTTTGCAAATGCTTCCGGTAGATTTTTTATTTTGTATCATGATTTCATTGCCTAGTGTTATTATTCTGCTCCCAAACTGCAAATAAAGTTGTCAATACTTCAAAATGAACATCTCTGTGTGTATCAGATTATCTTCAAAATCTAAAGGATAGTACATTTGATTTCAGGCCTTGCATCCGCAGACTGTGACATTGGAATAATCTGCAGCACTTTCTCTGGTATATGCAAACTTCTAATTCCTTTTGGACCCAAGATTAAGAAATAAATACTAGGATGTTTTGTATCTGTTCTCTGACTTGTTAGAGTTGTAAAAAGAAAGACAGATTATAATGGGTGATGTTTTTCCATTATTAGGAGATTTAAAGCTAATGCAGGGTCTCTAACACTTGAAATTCCAATGAGGCAATCGTTCGCAGTTTCAGTTTGATTCTTTTGTGCGTGGGACAGCCCCCAAATGCCACCACTACATGAAAAGACTTTGAAACCAGTCTCAAAAGATTTATCAAGACAACCCTGAGATTTTATGGGAATATGAGGTTCAGGATTTATTTTGTTAGAATCCTGAGTTATACAGTGAGTCCAAGAAAGATTGTGGTTGTGCATTACGTGTATATGGAACATATCATAGTGCATGAGGTGGCGCAATCAAACTTGGTTGTTCACCCATCATATCACTGACATTTTCAGTCAGGTCTGAAATAACTATGCCATTGTATTGCCCTTTAAGACACTTTAAATGGTTGCCCCTTCGGGATGGATTAGAAACCTTCAAATTCTTTTTCTTTTTTCTTTTTTTTAATTCTTGAATAACTACTTTTCCAAATCCAGCCTCTTTTCACTTCAATTTTTCCATTGATGATTTTGCTGATTTAGGTCCCTTGAAGGAGATCCAAGGATTCCTTTTGCCGAGCATGTGATTTTAAAGGAAGCCTTTGTTTTATGGTTTGAATGAGGATTGAATTTGTGATAGATTGGAAGAGTTCATATCAGAAGTCTTGAAAGGAAAATAATGCATCCATTTTAACTTTTCAAAGAGAAGCTTCATTCGCTAAAAAGGTTAATAGCCTTGTCCAGAATAAAAGAAAAGAGCTTTTGCAATTAATAAAGGCGAAAATTCATTAACCTTTTCTCTGCATTCCTCCTCGTGGATTTGCATCAGAAAAGGAAAGAAGGGTTAACAACTATATGCTTTAATGGATGTGCTACATCACCACCACCGGCATGCTTCACAAATTCGGCCGGGGAGAGGAAGCTGCCATGGCAAACACATACGATTCTCACCTCCTCACCCTTTCTATATCTGTAAAGAAAGCCTTCTATTCTTTTCCCACTGGGGCCATCTCCTGTTGTTGACACACAAGGCATATCCTCCAAAATGTTCCTCACAACTTCCTTAACTCTCTTTTCAGCTACTGCTGGTTGACTAGGCTGATTATCAGTCACAACACCAGCTAACTTTTCTGATTTTTGAGTCAAGAGTTTTCCAGGGATGATGACTGGTTTCTGCCCAGTCTCTGCTGCAGATTGCACACTAGTAAGGCTTCTTGCTTCCGAGCATTTGTAAATTCCTGTAATATAATGCAGTATATATGAGCTCAAGCTGAATGCAAGCTTAAAATAACCACAAAAACAACAAACTATGCCATTTTGTCACAATGTAGAGTCATATTGCCGCTGTACTTCATTCAAGATCATTTCCTTTGTAAACTTAAAGTATTGAAGAAAAGTTACTAAAAAAAATAGTGTAGCTCATTAACAATTTACAAAAGGTTGATGCATAGCATAAGTAACCCGCTCCCTGCATATTTTTCCCCTTCATTTGCTGCATAACAACAAAAATGCCAAAATCCATTTACCGATGAGATGACAACATTTCATACTGTCAACTATAAATTTTTTTTATGTTATCCAAGGTCATTAGCAGATCACGTTAGCATTAAGATATGATAGCTGTGTTACGGATATTAGAATCAGTTACCAGTCTCCAGAACATCTTTTCTCACCCTTCCATGCCAAATTTCCACTTTAAGCTGTAAAAAAGTTCAAAGAAGCTATGACGTTATGTCACGAGGTTTATGCTTAGGACGATGACTAGATAAAAGCCCTTGAAAATTGTAAATCTTGCCTGCATTTCACTGAATATTTTTTGCATGATTTCACGCAAGGATGTTCAAAAATGATAAAACGGAGTAAGATAATGCCACTAAATGGTTTTTGTATCACCATACCATCATCAGAAACTAAATCGTCCTTTTTGTTCAAACCACAACACAAAGTCCATCGTTCACCTAGAAGGATGGAAAAAAGGGCATGTCCATATCTCCAGGTCTACAAGATATTCACAAACTTAAAACTCCAGCCTAAAGCTATGTACCCTGGTTTGCTAAAACTATGCTTTAATATAAAGGACAGTAATAGATCACTGCCATTTATCGTATTATTCTTCACTTGAATTTCTTTTTTTTTTTTTTTGTATCTCAGGAAGATAGTACAATTTTAACTTATGTTCCCAACTTCAATTTTCCATTGTTTATTGTTGGATCGTAGGTAAAAACTAGGATATTCTTAGTTCAACTAAAACAGAACTGTAACATAACAGCAACCCAAGATGATCAGTCATCTAGAGGAAAACATCAAAACTTTTTTTTTTTTTTTGGAAAAAAAGCAAAGATACTCCACAAATCCAAGGGAAAAAACCTAGTTCTAGAAACATCAGGGCTTTGACATCATGTTTTGGCTGCAATCCATCTACATAATCAGTCATAGACCACCTGAACCACCAGTCAAGCCAAATGTCTTACTGAATTGTATCTAAATACATTCACACATGTCACCTTAAGCAAGCCCGAAAGGTGCGGTGAAAAACTGATATTTGAGTACAAATCAACATGATCATATGGCAACAACATGATTGATGTCATCTTTTAACTTAAGATGACAAGAGAATCCCAGTTTTCCTACCTTTCATATTAGTATTTATTAGAGGGGAAAAATAAGACAAAACAAACACTAGTCTCACCAGTGTCAAGATCATATGAAAAAATTATAGGACATGAACGCTAGTAAAAGTAACATCAATCAAGATGGAACAAAGCACGAGTAAATTCACCCCCAAAATTCCACATAAAGATCAAAACTAACAGAAATGAGAAAAAGTTTTTTATGATGAACAAAATAAGGTAGGCAAGATATTTTGATACCTTGAGCTGATTGGCACTCAAGTTCTGATATCCCTGAGGAACCACTTCCTTGGGATCCAATTGAACCCTGTGAAGCAGCTACTGCTTCAACAGTTCCTCTACCACCATGAATCCAATAAGCTCCATTACCAGCCTCGTCTCTCTTATCTTCTTCGTAATTCTCCTCAGCAAAACCTGCTCTATTCCTATCCCTTACAGCTTTCAAATTCTTCTGTTTCTCTGATCTCTTTCTCTTAGCTTCCATTCTCCTTAAACTTTGCAACTCCTTCCTCTTCCTCCACTCTTCCTCGGTCTCTGTAGGCAAAGAACATGTCCTCACAAGAGAACTACAAGCCATGGGGAACAAAGAAGAAGAAGATTCATTAGTGTCATTTCTTGTTGAGTTGCTGTTGAAATCTGGTATTGAAGATGATCTAGTGAGTTTTTTGGCTCTAGGGTCAACCCCAAAACGACCATTCAATGAAAGTCCTAAGCTTAACTGAACATGTTCTTCTTCACCAATTTCTTCTTCCTCTTCATGATTTCTGTGAGAAAAATGGCTGGTTGATGACATGAATCTTTGAAGTAGATCCCTTGGAAGATTGGCCAGTTGCATGGAATTGTTTTGTTGGGTTTCTTTCTTTCCAATTTCCTCAGCTTTGGCCATTCAAAAGACAAACCAAAAATTGTAATAATAATAAAAAAGATTGATGAAATTAAATTTTATAAAACATGAAATCGTAACGATGAAATCTTAACCCCAAACTCAAAGTTCCCATTTTTTTCATTCGAAAAACAATCAAACAAATAGAGGGAAAAGGAAATAGAGGTAAAAAATCCAAAGAAAATGGAAGAAAATGAAGGAAAACAAGGGAAGAGAAGAAAGAGAAAGGAATTGGTTGAATGACAAGAATACCCTTTAAAAATGCTGGTCATGCAAACCAGACAAGTGGAGGAATGCAGAGCAACCCAAAGGAAGGACATGACCTCACGTGTTGATGTTTGAGAAAGCAAAAAATTAAAAACCAAAGATTCCGAGGTGACACCAAACGTGCTGTCGCCACGTCGTTGGTTTCTTTAAACATGACTATGTCCTTTTACCTATTACACGTGTCGCATAATCATTGTGGGAGCCACATTTTATAGCCACGTGTCATTGGATAGAGAGGAAAATCTGTCTATGGCTTATCTTAGTTTGGGTTTAGCTACTTATCTTTCATTTTAGGGAAATTGCAGTTAAAGTGGTTTGTTGTTCTTATTTGCACCCTATAACTTTTTAGTTTTTCATTTGAGACAGTGTCCATTCACGCTTAAATCTAAGATTTCAAAAATAAATTCATGTTATGTTTGAAAAGATGAATTCAAAGGAGTATCTTTGAATTTGATTTGACATATAAATTATAAAATGAAAAGTACATGTTATGTAAAAATTAATTAAAATTTAATATATTTATACAATAAAAAGATATAAAAAATGAATTTAAAATTTTTAAATATTTATAGGCATTTTAAATTCACTACTAAAAAATCTAATAAATACATTAATTTGAAAATAATCGTGATATGTTTTTATCATACAATTTATACTAAATTTAAAATCTAAATATCATTATTTTTAAATCCAGATTTTCAAACGCAACATTATAAATTTATAGGTATTAACACTTGGTCAAACAATATTACATATATTTTTTATAACATATTTAGATTTGAATTTCAAATTCTCTCAATTATTATTTTAAAAATAATATGTTCAAAGACAAGCATATCTTTTATATTTTAGGGTGATTTTAAACTAGAGATTTTAAATTTTAAAAATTTTAAGATAAAAATATTTTAAAATGTATCGTTTTAAAATAATAGCTTTTATAATTACATTACTCGAGTAAATTTTTTGTAGAAAAAAATTTTGAATATTGAAATTTGATAAGATAAAAAGTAATAATAGAAAAATAAGGATAATAAAAATAAAAAAATACAATATGGGTATCATTACGTTTGTAAAAATATATAGGTATTGCTAATGATTTGAAAAAAGAAACAATTAAATGATTTTTGTAGTTGGAGTTGAAGAAATAAAAAAAATTAAATTTAAAATGAAACATAATAAGTGTTCATCTCATTAAAAAAAATTAAAGACTAAAAAAGTTTCACCTCTTAACTAGTAATATGAAAAAGAATTTGAATAGATCAAAATCTCGTTCAAATTTCAAAAAATTTAAAATTTTTATTTCTATTTTGCCAAAAAAACCTTAAATTTAAAATTTTCTTTATAAATGAAGCTACTTATTGAAAATTTTCATCCAAATAAACTTTTAAAATTTTCATTTAAAAAAAAAACTAAGAAATAAATATGGAAGAAATGTGTATATCACTCACTACTATGGCAAAAAGTAAAATCTTTTCTCTTTTATGTGTTTGAAATTTTGAAAATTAATTTGCTATTCATGTGATAATTTATTAATTTTATCTAGTAAAATTATAAAAAAAAATTAATCAAATCTTAGTAACATTGATAAAAGTGATATTTAAAGAAAGAAATATATAATGAATTATATTTTAATTTAGTGAAAATATTATATTAAATGCAAAAAATTTCTTTTAAATAGCATTTTATATATTTTTAAACAGTAATTTTAAATAGTCATTAACGAATTCTTATAAAATTAATTTTAGATGTCAACAAAAATATTACCTTTTAAATATGAGGATACTTCTAGAGTTCTTTGGGATAACATTTAATGTTGTAATGTCTTAGAAGTTTATAAAGTATTGAAAACGCAAGGGGTATAGTGCAAAAAACTCAAAGGGATAGATTTATAAAATGGAGAAAGTATATGGGATGTAAACGTATAAGACCATTTTCTTCTTTTCCTTTCTCTCTAAAAGCTCCGGGCCAAATTTTACCTGACGATGAGAAAGGGGAAAGTGACACGTGGGTGACAATCTCGTGTTTGTGTCGCAGATTTTGAGCCTTACGTCCCTTTCTGTCTAAGGTTTTTGTCTGGACGTGTAAGCTTATGGATATCTACTCGCCACCATTAATTGACACGTAAGCGGAGCGGTCGTTTTGTGATTAACGTAAAACTCATGGGTGTTCGATTAACTACCCACGTTAAAATAAGAAAAAAGGAATAGATTTTTGTTATTTTTTTATAAATTTTTTTAAAATTTATATTTATAATCAAATATAATATTTATATAATTAATAATTATATTATTTAGTTAATAAATTATAATTTAATTAAATAATTAATTTATATTAAATAAAATTTTAACTTAAAATCTTAAAATTTTAAAATTTACTCTTTACTATTAGGTCAATATCTCATTGACTTGTCTTATAAACTTCAATCCTTCTGAAAGTATGAAATTAAATAGAATTTTTTAATTTTAATAATTAATTTTCAGTTTAATTATTATCTTTGTTACTTAAATTTTTATATTTGAAAATATCAAAATTTTAATTTTAATTATTTAAATAAAATATTTACAACTGTAGGCTACTTAAATTTTACTTTATTTAAAAAAGTTGTTAATAAATAAAAATATATGATAACAAATAATATTGCATTTAAAAATAAGGAAATAATTAAAACTAAGACAATCTCCCGCGAATTCGAGACTTACTTAAAATTTTTATTAAAAAATTTGTAGAAGTTAATATAAATATAATAGTTTAATCCATTGATAACTTTAAAAAAATTTATCTTATCAAATATTAAAAACTTTTAACAATACATTTTCAAAAACGATTTAAAAAATGACAAAAAAAAATGTTTCCCCTCTCGTGAAAATATTAAAATTATTTACTTAAATTTGATAATTATTAAATATTAGAGAATTTTAACGGAAGTTGATATATATATAATGTAATAATTCAATTTATTAACAATCTTAAAAATTTTAAAGCTAGCTTTTAATAATTTAATCTCATTATTAACTTTGAAAAATTACAAAAAAAAAAAGAATTATCTACCGTTATAAAAAAATCATAATTAGTCACTTAAATTTGATAATTATTGAATATCAATTAAGAAGTTGGATAGAAGTTAATATATAATTCAATAGTTTACTCATATTAATAATTTTGAAAAATTAAAAGTATTTAATAAATATTAATAGATTTTAATAATTTAATTTCATTAATAATATTAAAAAATTATAGAAAGAATAATTATTTACTTTTATCGAAATACAAAAAATGTTAATTTAAAATTTCACAAACTCATATATCCAAAACACTTGTCAACAAATAACACCTGGCAGTTAAGTTTCATTAGGATAGATGTTACAAATATTATAAAATTAATTGTTTCATATTACTAAAACTTAAATTATATATTTTTTATACTCTTGAAAATTAAAAAATTAAAAAATATTGATATTTAAATTTTAAAATTTTTATCATTTAAATTTCTCATAAGAAAAAAATCTTGTTTTAGGTAAATTTGTAGAATTAGAGAGAATTATTCTTTGTTTTTGAGAGAAGAAGACATTCAACAAAAGTAAAATCCCCTTAAATCAAGGAAAAATGAAGTATAATGGTTTGTAAAATCATTACCCAACTCTTTTGAGTTTGATATGACATTGTTTGGCATCATTGTCACAATTTCAATTATTGCTTTCAAAATTTTACAAATATTCCACCCTCTGATAGAAAAAATCTAGTAAAGCAACAAGATAAGATATGATTAAGTGAAACTTAGATGTAGAAAGGTAAAAGATATTTGATAAATACTACCATGATAGATAGCTTGTGAGCTTTAAGCTTTTTTTGCTCCTCTAGTAGTCAAATTTTGTGTCACTAATTAATTGTAGTCTTAGATTCAAATCTTTTAGATATTTTTTGGTAAGTGCATATCACCATCATTCATAAAATAAATAAATAAATAATATCATTAATAATCTTTAAATTATAATAAAATATTTAATAAAATATTTAAATTTTAAAAATTTTTAATATGAATGATTTTTTATTTGTTACATGTCATAATTTAAAATTAGATATGTTAAAAATGAGTATCATATTAATTAATATATTCATAATTTAAGTATCAAATTATTAATTTTTAAAATTTAAATTTTAAATTAAATATTTTATTATAATTTAGAAATTTTTAATTAAATATTTTACTATAATTTAGAAACTATTCATGATATTAATCATAAAATAAAATATTTTTACTTAACTAAAAACTTTTATGCTCTACCAATAATATTTTTAAACTTTATAAATGAAATTAAAAGATCGATAAATAAATTTATTAATTATTATAGAAGCCAAGTAAGTTTTCTAATTCATTTATGGAATGTAAAAATTTCATGTAAATCAGCTAAATATCTTTAAAAATTTTTATAAAATACTATTTACAAAAAAAAATTATATTAAATAATATAGTATTACTAATAATGTGATAATTCCCATCCTAACCAAAACACAATAGAGCAAAAATACTACTTTATTTAGTAAGTATGGAAAATACTTTTTAATTTTATACTTTTGTCCTTATTATTTGTACTTTCTAATGTGACAAAAATTCATTGGTTTTAATTTAAACATTATATGTAAGAATAATTTTTTTCTCAAATTTAAATTATTGAATAAAATTTTGTCACGTTAGGAGGGACAAAAAAAAAAAAAGAAAATTGTAGGGTTAAATAGCACTCATTAAATATACAAAATACCACAATCACAAGGGTGTGAACTTGTTAACTATTAATGTTCTAATCTTACTTGGGATTAATATCACCAATGACCATTAAATTATTATGAAATATTCATCTTTAATATCATTAATTTCAAATAATAACATATAATTGATAAATAATTTTTTAAATATTATATTAAGTAATAAATTTATAATTAAAATATCATTTTAAAAATTTTTATAATTTAACTATAATATTTAATATTTCAATATAATTCAAATACCATTTATAACATTATTCTTTACATTGTAATGTGTAAATTATAAATTATTACTTCATATGCTTAAAGAATACTTTTGAAG